TTACGTGCATGTCAGAGAGAGTGACAGTTGACAGACAGAAATGAGAGAAAAAAACAGGGAGCATAACCATGGAATGTTTCCTGCAAAACTTTTTCAATGTTAGTAGGATTAAAACTGTCATAATATAGAAATAAAAGGCAATTTTCTACACTGATTTTAGTACTTAAAGGCTGTGTATAAAGGGCAAACACAAAGCAAATGCAAAAAGCAAAAGATTCATTGAGCATGTAGACTCTTAATAATACATTTCAGTTGAATTTGGAGAAACCACTTGAAACATTTGTAGAGTTCAGCTATTTCAATAACTTTTATTGATTTGTTCATTGCAACTGTACATTCCTAATGTTCCTTGAGCTCAGACACTAGGTCTCCTAGAGCGAAGGCACCTTAAAGACCTGTTTTTAGAGGGCTTTTTCAAATGCTGCCAGCCCTGTCGTAATCAAACCTTGTTCCGGTGACTTTTCACAAACCTATTCACACTTGCCAAGGACCCAAAGCCACCAGTGCCTATACCTGCCAAAGACCCAAAACCCCTGCAGACCTTAGACTAAGCCAGCCGAGGTCTCCAGGTCTCCAGTTATGCCCAGGTATGTTTATCCCTTAGATCCACCACGTGCCTCTACTTTGCCCTCAGACCCATCGGCTCTTCCAGGCTCCCTCGTCCCTCTGAATCCACCTTGGTCAATTGTTGCTCTAGAGTCTCCAGCTACACTTCAACATCCACAACACTACACCAACACCCCTCTGTCTCCACCGGTCTCCTCCATCCCTCTGGATCTCCCAGTCCCACCGACTCTGACCTGGTCTTACATGTCCTCTTCTCCTCCTCAGTCCCGCAAGCCTACAGCTCCAGATCGGCCCTCCTAGCCTGCGTTGTCACCCCAGGTCATTATCTTTGTCACGACCCGGCTCCACCTCAGTGGGTCAGGCGGTTCTGTCATGGACCTTCGTCCAAATGGCTTTGCTCTGGGTTTGGCTCCGCCCTCAGTTGGCTTTCCCTGGCTCCTTCCTCCAGCACCTTCTCATTGGTCCTTCGTCCCACTCAATATCCACTATTGTCTTTGCATTAGTGAAACTGCCACGCTGAGTCTATAACGTTTTGAATAGCTGTCTTTGCTTTTGTTTTAAAAATAAAAGTAAATCTGCTGCAATTAAGATTCTTTCTTACCTGCACCATGACAATTATCTGCAAGTACAGTTTAAAATATATATATATATATATATATATATATATACTTTTATTAAATTAATTAAATAAAATTATGCTCACTTTTTTCCACAAGGGTGCATCTGTGTGATTTTAAGATAAGCGTTAAAACCATGAGGATATTTTTTAAGCAGCACTCACAGTGTTACATACTGACTGTGTGTCAGGAGAGAGAATGAAATGAAATATACACAATTTCTTATGATGCACTCCTGGGTTAATTTATCAATGCAGGAATTCCAAACATTAGAAATGGCCTTGAGATGTATTTGATTAGGTGCTGCTTTTGCAGCATGATTCACCAGTGTCGTGAAAGGAGACATGCGGCTATATGTTTTGTGAGAGTTGGAGAACAGCAAATGTTTATGAGGCAAGAGCAGATGGAAACACCATCACCACCTTCTTCTCTGTCATGTCTTCATATTCCAGAGGGATGCTCATACCCATTGTTTTTGTGAAGAAAAGTAATTTATTTATAGAAGGGATAACTCAGTAAATTCCTATGAGACTTCAATCTTTCAGCTGTTTTACTCCAATCCATCAATCGTGTGCAGTTTTCAGTTCCCAATGGCACAATTACAGCAACAATTTACCTCAATAATAAAAGCTGACTAAATAGACAGCTGTGCAAAGTTCACATGCATATACCCTTTTGTCACATTGTTCTGGGGAAGATTAGTGATATATATTTTTATCTCAGGATCCCCGTCTAACAGGACTGAAAACAGAACACAAATAACACTATGTGGTGACCTCAGTGTTTCAAGCTTTGCAGATCCCAGCCATTTCCTCTGCTCCATCCCTCCCTTAATTCACCTGCACTTTAGTCATCTGTTGTGCTCAGGCTTGAACACAAGCACCTGTTAGTGCCTCAAAAGAGTCCAAACTACACACCACCAACATCACATCCTATCATAACAAACAAAGCCAATAATAATAACATTGAGGACAGGCACTGTAATCTACTGAAGATGTAAAAACCCTGTAGATGTAATTCCCACATTGTAATTAAATTAAAATGTGCTGTACAACAACTAATTTGAAATAACTAGCACACATACAGAGTCAATCCTGATTTATGTTATTGTGATGCTGTGACAGTGGAATGAGGGTGTGAATTAATAATGTCATTCAAGATATAATCAAATCATGTTCTTATTATATTTTAAACCCGTTAGAGACACAGGAGCATTAAATGTAGAACTCTTCTATAAAATCTAGTAATTACAGATGTAAGCACTTTCAAACGTGTGATATTTTGAGCTGATGCACAGTCTGATGCATTTAGAATACATACGGCTTAAATTTTCATGAATCTCTTGCAAAGAGAGTGTTTTTGTGTGCAACATGACATCATGACTTTTGCATAAACATACACGCCACTTTCGAGTCAGGTGGCGTGTTATCTCTACGCATTTTGAGCTATCCGCGTGTATGCGTGTATGTCTACGCCATTAACGTCCGCGTCATTCTGTACACGCAGTCAAATCTCCAGTCATAAATGCCATTAACCCCAGTGACGGTTAAGTTTAGGGATGGGGTTGAGGTAAGTCATATCTTTTTTTTACCTAGGATGGTAAGGGAACAGTCATAAATGCCATTAACCCCAGTGACGGTTAGGTTTAGGGACGGGGTTGAGGTAAGTCATATATTTATATAACGTTAAGTCAACGGCGTTCATAAACACGCTGAAAGGCGATTATGCGTCTTGATAGCACGCCAAAAATGGAAATACGAATTGGCGTGGCATACACACGCTACTTCATGAGATCAGTCTGGAGTTTGTTGTGTTCAGATTCAAAATGACTCTAGTAGTGTGAGGATCCTCAGTTGTTAACGTTTATGATGTCCAGTTTTTCTCTGGAACCATTTAAGCCGGATTCACACTGTACGATTCTGGCCACAATTTGGCCGTCTGAGACAAGTTTTGTGAATCCTAAAATATTCCTCTGGTCCTAGGCCAAAATCTGAAGTCCTTGATTGCTAGTTTGTAATGTTCGCAGACATGTTCCTCCAACTAAATTCTGGCAGTGTCAGAGGTTTTGAGAGACAGCTCTATAACTTATCCCACAACAACCATAAAATCGAAAACCAATAGGAGCGTAGAACCCGATTACAATTAATGAGGCAACAACAAACACACATCTGACATTAATGACAGCTGATATCCTACAGTGTGACATGGCTTACAGCGCCATAGAGTCTGACAAGCAACAGTTTTAAAGGACTATTATACATCCTACAGTGTGAAACAAAGGCTTAACAAAGTTGAAAAATGTATGATGCTTGTACTGTTTTACTATCTGTCCAGATGTTCTTCCTAATCAAACACACCTGGTTCAACTATTCAGTGTGTGTGTGCAGTAACTTGGATGGGTTAAATGCAGAGGACACATTTCAAGTATGGGTTACAATACTTTATTTACCTTTATTTTACTTCAAAGGGGCCTGTTTGTATATGCGTTTTGGTCATTCATTTTGGGGCCCTGAAAATGCACACTTCTGAAAACAGATTTCAAAGTGTTACCGTTATTATCTCCATATTAACTGCAGAAAAGCAAATTTGTGACGTTTTCACGATAAGATGACGTCATGCGCTTTAGGTGTTGGCGCATGGTGTTTCAAAGTGGCATCTACCAACTGGCCTGGCACGAGTAGTTTTTAGTTTCTGCTGATCCATGTGAACAGGGATTGACTTTTTTTTTTGACATATGTGAAAATGCAAAGGAAAACGTTTCGAAAACATACTTCATTGTCATATAAAGATATGCATATAGGCTCAAGAGTTAGTATGAGGCATATAAAGCACGTCTCATGAGTACTTTTCTCACATCAAAGTATATCGACAGTGTTGTCCCATCCTACAGCGTAAATTCTGAAGATTCAATTATGTTCTGCACAAACTGAAGTTCAGCAAGCACAGCAAAAAACTCCAGTGTTAAATATAATCTCTTGGGAGTTAATTTGGCTCCATACTTAAGAGTGTTAAAGTATGATGTTAAATGAACACTTAAGCAGTGAAAAGTTAATGAAATAATAAAGTGATTATTTGAGTGATAATTGGCCATTGTTGAAGACACCTGATGATAAAAAACAGAATCACTGAGGGAGAAAAATCAAAAATGTTTCTGAATATGCTGTTTGTCACCATTGTTGAGATTCATACACTGATTTCTCTTTGTTCATCTGGCTGTTATAACTCAGTTACAGCAGACAGACTAAATCTAATTTTAAAATGTTAAGAGTCAAGAGACCAACTAAAGCAAATGCTGGCAAAATGTGTAATTTTCTCCTTAAGTGATTCTGCTTGTTATCAGCTGGTGTTCATCAATAATTATCAATCATCACTCAATTAATCACTTAATAATTGTAACACTGCTTCAGGGTTCATTTGACACTCATAACACTTTAATACTCTTTAGTCTGGAGCCAAATTAAGTTAATTTAACTCTGGAGTTTTTGCTGTGTACAGTGTTTAAAACAACTCTGCATTCATTTGTTACATATACGTGCTGAACCATAAATATTCGGTAAAATTCGGTTTCACATATATGTGTCCCTGGAACATAATTTGATTCTGAAAAGGATAAATCACACATCAAACACATATTTTCAATATTTTTTTCTATGCATTACTGCAAGCTTTATATAATATTTATTATAAACCCTCTCTGTGTGTCTAGTTCACCTAACAGCTGCACTCAGCTGGAGCACTTGACATTGTGTGTTTTCTTTCTTTTCCATTGTGATTTATATCTATGTGTGGCATTGACCGAGGCCCGAAAAACATATCTCACTGACCTATACACAACAACACAAACTCCACTGAGACCTCACTTCATTTCAGCTGCTACCTGTAGATGGCTAATGTAGCTGTTCATGACACTTACTGCAGATGAGGAAATATGCAGCGATGCAGGTGAGGAGAGAGAAGCTCTGAGCCAAAGACGCCACCAGACCGAAGATGCCCCCAAAGACTAGCAGCACCAGGCTGAAAGGCAGCAGGACCACGATGACCCTGTGCAAGTCTGAGAGACACAGACAAGACTTTATTACATGGCACAAACTCAAGAGTTTAAAGAAAGCTGGAGTTCAGAAGCCAATTTGCCCTTTTCATTTTCAGTGAGTTTAAGCGAGTGACCACAAGGGGTGTGTACAATAATAATTCATATTGTCAATGTCAACAATAATATCACATTTGTTGTTTTAACCATGTAGAGGCTGGCATTAACAAGTATGTCACTCGCTTTGCAATGCTTTCACTGCGTGAGGTAGATTACAATTCATTTAGAAGGACCCCAAAATTCAAGCCTCCGTTTGAGTTTTTGTCTTAAATTTCGATATGATGTTAAGTTATAGTTAATACATGTTAAAAATTAAGTTAATATTGTGTTACATTTTAGACATTTAATTGTCAATATTGTCTCTATTTTTGTTCTATTTTGAGCCAGATCGGAGCTGTTGTGTATCTCTGAGGAACACAGTGGCGTTTTCGTTCATGAATCAATCAGTGTTTTCGAACAAATCAATGATTCAAAGTATTTCATTAAAAATATATTTCATATTACAATATATATATAAAAAATCTGCATTATGTATATTTCATAGCATTATGTTTATGCAATTGTAAATACATCTAAAAGCTATTTTTGTTTCACTTCTGCAGTATAAAAAATAATTTTGTTGATACTTTGGTAACATCCTATTTTGTTATCATGTCATATTATTAGGGGCCAAGCACTGAATGAGGTAGGCACCTCTTGAAATCGTTGGCAGTCCTATTTATCTTCTTCTTCCGTATTGAAGTCTATGGCAGCCCATAGAACCACTTCTGGGACAGCCACCATAGCAAATTTGGAGTGTCTCTAACTCAATCACTCTAGCGCCAACAACTATCTAAAGTGTCACTCATGTCTATAATTTCTTTTGAACCATACGAAAAAAAAATTCCTTTCCTCACTGATTCCTTGGGTCAATACGATTCGATTGCACCGTATGTAATGTCATTTTCCGTCATTTAAATCTTTCTGCCATTTTGAAAATTTTAAAAACGTACTTTTTCGAACTTGTCTTAGAAGTTCGTCAAATCATTCGTGAATACCGCAGAAACGAATTTTACATTGCACTTGCAAAAACAGACTCAAGGCTGTATCTCTGCATCGCTTTATCACATTCAGACCAAACATGCTGCGTATTGAAGCAGCGCCATCTACTGGTCCGGAGATATGAAAAATGCTATTTTTGCTTATAACATCTGAATGACTTGTCCAATAATCAGTGGTCTTATTAGATTGATAACTGATACAACAAAAGTGCTTTCCTGCCAGCTAGTTCACATGGTATATATATAAAGGTACAGTATTTAAGGTGAAACAAGGCATAGCTTGCTAGAACGTATGAAATCTTTTTAACTAATCTTTTTAAAGCGTCTGTCTGCTTTAATCAAATTTAACTGAAACTATAGTTGCCCGGCCAGTATAACATATCTAAGTTAGCATAAATTTAACTTCACATACAATTCTATCAACAAGTGGCTACGGTCGCTACGTGCTAAGAAGCTAACATAACATAGCCAGCCTGGATACTAAATGCTATGAAAGTTAGCCATCATTAGTTAGTTTATCATTGTAACAAAATGTGTCCATATATCACGTCTCTTCTTTCTCCCGAGCCCCGTGCAAAGCATGTTTTACTTTTAACCTGTTGCCGCCTCACCGTGAATCCAGCTCCTGTCTGCTCCATGTGTTGTGTAGGCTACTCTGACTGTGCCCGCCCGCTCCAGGTTTGAAAGTGGGTGTGTGGCGGAAGAGCTGACGAGGAGGAGGCGGAGGAGGAGACAGGATTTGACAAAACCATATCATATAATAATATGTAATTTTCGTCTCGTCTTTGTTCGTGAACTAAAATGTCCATAGATTTTAGCCCAGTCTTTATTTACCGAACTGCATTTTCGTCTCGTCTTTATTAGTCTACGAAAATTATTTCTGATTTACTCCCAGTTATTGTTTATTAGTGGGGATTTTAGTCTCGTCTCGTCTAGTTTTCGTTCGGTGAAAAATGTGCGTTGACGAAAATATTTTCGTTTAGTTTTCGTTAACGAAATTAACACTATGCTGAGTTGACTAATATCTAATTTTCCCATAACGGGCTATTTTGGACGTCAGACATTTAAAATTTTGTAATAAAATTTTGAATTTTATGAACGCATGAACGTGTCATTATGAAACTCGCATGGGTCATCAATACGTTACCCTAAAGGAGCCATATGCTAATACCCAAATGTCATAATGTTGATAGTAAGTGGCAAAAAAAATCCAAAGTCACCCATGAATAATTTTTCATGCTCTCATACATATAAATGTCTATAACTCTAAAACTAAATGAGAAATTTTCACCAAATTTGACACACACATGTATGGGCTCACTCTAAGAACACATGCACCACTTGGTGGCGCTATAATAGAACAAAAGGGACATTGCCATTTATTACAATAAAATATCATCATATTAAATGCTACACTTTACGAATGCATTGTGGCTCTTCAGCTATCAGTTTAACCATAAGGCTGCTAACATGCTTTTGTGTGCTAATTCTTACACCGATGCATCTAATATGGTTAGAAAATCCCTTATAAAAGTTAAAAATGCCCTTGGAAAAGTTGTTCAATCGCTACTGCAATACTATATTCATATCGCTACTATGAATATTAAGAATATGAAAAGCTTCAGAAGTCGGCTGTCCACGACAGGCCTAACCAGCCAAGGTACAAAAAACACACAGCATAAAAATTCAACTAATTGGTTTTTTGGGGTCAATATCACAACCCCCCCAGTGTGACACTACTAATCAAAGATCATCAGCTTGAATATCATGCTGGGAATACACCTCTTTAACAGACAGAGAACACACTAACCATAGATAACAAGCCTATTTCCAGTGCCATTCTCTGATTGTGGTTAATGTGCAGATGGCAGTTTCAGAGACTCACTTAAAAGGTGCTTCTCCTGCTCAGTGTGGTTGGAGGTGTCCGTGTAGAACGAGATGTCATGATAACTGCCATTCTCTCCTGTTGGTGACATTGAAACATTATCAAGTCAAAGCTGGAAACCCTTATTATGCTTCACACAGTTTCCTTTCTTGGCAATTCTATTACAGCCAAGTTCAAGGCACACAATATAATTTAAAGAAGTTTTTTTCGTAAAAGGAAAAGCAGAATTTGTGCAAGAGGGAAGATGTTGTAACAGAAATTAGAATTTCATAGGTCAGATTTAGTAACTGACATCACAAAGTGTGTAACATTAAACATTTACAGTTCTGTAATGAACTGCTTCTCTTTTTATTAGTCTCTCGTGCCATAAAACCGCTACACAATTGGACGAGACATTAATTATGTACATAATGGAGCCTCAGCCAGTAATGAGGACTGTATCTGTGAACATTTGAGAAATGACTTTCTTTGCCACCATTAGAACCATTTGGCAGTTTATTTGCTGCTATTAAAATGAGATAAAAAAAAAAATGAATCTATTGAGGCAAATGAAATGACTAGCTAAACAGTAAGAGAAAGGAGTTGTGGTGACACCTATTATATATGAAATGTCTTACACACATTAAATGTCACTACATGTTAGATTAATATAGCCATGAACAAATGTAATAGTATTTAGCCTAATGTAAATGTCTATGCATATATCTGTGTATAGTGAGAAATGAGTCTGGATATACACAAATATCGGAAGAATATAAATGTGTACAGCAGCTGCACAATAAAATTGACATAAAACTGAGTGTAAGTTGTGTGTGTTGAGCATCTTACCTTCATAAATCCTCCAGAGTCCGGAGTGAGAGCTGCTGTATTCCAGGCTGGAGTTCGTCCCTTTATCCACATCTATAATGTACCAGTAATCAGTGGCGATGGACACGGCGAGCAGGATGAAACTGAGCAGCCCACAGAGACCCGCACTGATGACAACTGTCCCAAAGTTCATTTTCATCAGCACTCAAATCCCTCTTATGATTCAGTGAATTTGAACACCTGTTCCTGCCATTTAGCTCCTCCAAAGCCCAGAGTGTTTCGTTCAGACACATTAAAGCACATCATTCTGTCTTTTTTACTCCAGTTGTGTCCAGGGTGAAGGAATAATCAGCTCTCGGCACATGCTGGATGAAAAAACTCAGTGATTTTCCTCGGCATCTCTCCTGCACAGCTGTATACGGAGTGAGAGCCTCTGAACACTGAATCTCTGAATGTTTCTCTCACCTCAGTTTCAGCTGCGATCACTCACTGTGGTTCATTTGCTCACCTCAGCGACGAGGTTGTTTCTTTCTCCATGTTGTGTAAATAGATTTCTCTGTATATAGTGGCGTGTATCTTTTGTTAACCTGGCTTGATTTTGTCAGGAGAGAGAACATTCCTCATTTCAACAGGTGAGAAAAAATGCATGCAAAAAATAATATATTCATTTCCAGTACTGATATCGTACTCGGTTACTATCGTAACCATGGTTCCCTGAGAGTAGGGAATGAGTGTTGCGTAGCTATACACAGAGGGGGAAACTCCTTTCCCGAGATTTACTGAAGCTTAAATGTAAAACACATTGAAACTGCACAGTGAGCACAGAGAGTGACTTACTCACTGATTGGCTGTGCTGCAGCAACTGTGCATCCAATGGTGAAGGCACCATTTACATGTGCACCAATCAGCAATCAGTGACGCCTATAAAGGGAACCCAAATTTGACTTTATAACTGGTTTAAATTGGCTGAAGTGTCAACTTACCATGTTACTACTTGTTACCAGGCTACGCAATACTCATTCCCTACTCTCAGGGAACTGAGGGGTTATGATAGTAACCAAGTACATTCCCTATCGAAAGCAGTCACTTCGTATTGCGCAGCTATACGCAGTACGGATACAATGTAAAATGCTGCACCATAAATAACAGCCTGCAACTGAAGCCCAGGACCCCAGAATTCACATATAAATATGACAATGTTGGATCTAAATCATATAGTAATGTCAGTACGCCGAAATAATATAGTAATAGACCAGATACCGTTGGGTCTGGTTATATATATGGGCAAAAAACAGCCAAAGCTGGTTTGTAGCAAGGGATAGTTTGCTTACGAACAGTGACCTGACACATAGATGAGACCGGACCTCACCGAGTCTAATCACACAGAAAGGACCTTCGCCTGTAGGGAAGGGACCTCCATATTACAGAACCTCACAAATGTGGAGGGCGAGGACCAACCAGGCGCACAAATGTCCTGAATATTAAACCCAGAGGACCACGCCCATGACGAGGCCACACCTCTAGTCGAATGGGCTCTAGTGCCTATAGGGCAAGCCTGACCCACCGAGTGTATGCGAGAGGTGGCATCCATTATCCATCTGGACAGCCTATGCTTCGTGACTGGAGATCCTTTGAATCGGCCACCGAAGCAGACAAAAAGCTGTTTCTTTCAAGACCTAACCAAGACCTAGACCTTTGCACTAGGAGGACTGGGTGTCCCAGTTCTCTGACCCGTTTGATGACCTGGGGGATCATGGAAATAGGGGGAAACGCATACAAGGGACAAAAGAACACTGCGCAGCAAGTGTTGTCTCTCGAGGCAAACAGGTCGACCTTGGCCTCGTTGAAAATACCCCATGTCAAACGAGCCGTCTGAGCGTTTAGAGGCCACTCGCTTAGGGGAGTGTTGTCTCGAGAAAGCATATCCACACCCAGATTCTGAATGCCTGGGAAAAGTTGGCTTTCATCCAAAGAAGAGGGTCTCCCTCTATTGCTTAGATTTGTGTCAAATTAATTCTGTAAAATACATTTTCCACACACACACACATTTTCTTTCCCACTAAAGTTCACATTTCAATTTTTGCTGCCACCTATTGATGAACCATTGCATGAAAATATTGCATGTTATTGTTTCATATGGAAGTGAAAGTTTATTAATGAAATGTTTACACACAAAATATTCATTTTACTGAGTGATAGTGATGTTGTTTTGTTGGAAAAAATATGAAGGTTTCACATATTTAGACTGTTTTGAGAAGTCATGAGTTATAAGTTTAAAATGAATGAAATTAAATCCCTTGAAGTCAATGAAGTTCATACTGGTAATTCTCTTATATTGATCTCATGAATTTCATCTTGTGATATATTCAAATAAATGTCTCATATTGATATAAATGCATCTTGTCTTGCATCACAAGGTTTTGCTCTAGTTCCTGAACAAATTTAAATGTGAACGAATTTCTGTTTATTTAAGTAATAAAAATGGTTTAAAGCACTTTTGTGCATTCACTCATTAATGAGAAGTTACTGATTAGATGTAATATGGTTTATGATGAACAATATTGTATTATAAGCTCACATTCCTCCCCGGGTCCAAACACAGTAAATGATGAAGTGAAGCTCATGATGGAGGACATGATCCTCTGAGCTTTTACTTTACTTACACGAACAACATTATGATGATCAACTTCAATGAAAATCTGATGTTATATATAATAATTCAAATCTGCTGAAGTAAAACTGTGTGAATGTTTACAGATTTAATGCTGATCTCTGATAATCTGCTGTGTTTTCTGTTTATGAAATGATAAATGATAAGAACGGATGTTCAATGTAATATTTGTAAATGAGGTGAATATGAAATAAAGTCTGATTTGATTGTTACTCTTTGTAAGTGTGTGTTTGACTGTAATCTGTTGTCTATCTGTCAGCATTGTGTTTTTGATAATTAGATTGATTCACTCTTTTCATTTCAAAATCTTAATAAATAAGTGCAAAACATAAAAATAAATATATTGAGGTTATATCTATCTATCTATCTATCTATCTATCTATCTATCTATCTATCTATCTATATATATACATATATACACGTGTTTATATATACAGGTATATAGGTTTAAAATTATTTTACCAAACATGTGCATTTGTTTATTTTTTATTGTGATATAAAATTATAATTGCAATATTTTTTAACATAATTAAGATTTAGTCTTATATAAGTGTTTGAAGACAATATGTACTATAATATTTTTATGTAAACCACATTTCAGTTTTTAAAATTGTAGAAAATAATGTTTTCTTTTAAAACAATATGAAACAAACATAACTGCATACATTTCTAAAGCTTTATTTTACAGGTTTTTTGCATCATTGTTACATATATTTACTGTAGTAATAACTCTAAATGAACCCAAACTCTATGTGAACTTAATATGTGTTTTTGACTTTGATGATGTCAGACTCGTTTACTTTCCTCTGTTCAACAGTTCTTCTGAATCAGATTCAAACAAACTCTCATTTGATGAAGATTCATAAAGTGATTCAGTCAAAACTGGACATTAAAAAGCAAACGTGTAAAAACAGTGAAACTCAGGGTGACAAACGTTTATCATCAATGAAAATAACAGTCAAATATCAACAACTGAAGAAACATGTTCACACTGAACCAGGAACAAGCGCTTATTGACCATAATCTACAATAACATCATTAAACTGGAATAAAACATGTGAATTAACAGAGAAATACTGGAGCTGACAGAAGATTCATATTCATTTACAGTTATCTCTATGATTATATAGATGATGTGCTATTCATTTTACATTATTGATTATAATAATCCTCTGAGATCCAGCAGTTTTAATCAGATCATCTGAAGGATTTTAATAACACATTGTGCACAAATAAAGTGGATGAATATCAACAATGGTGATAATGCAGTAACACACAATCAGTTAAACAACTGGAAAAGTGTTTGTTTAGTGTGTGTGTGTGTGTGTGTGCGCGCGCGCGTGTGTGTGTGTGTGTGTCTTCATATATTTCAAAAATTAAAATTGGTTCCACATTTTTTTTAATCTGACACAGAGACACTGAAGAGTTAACATCATAAACTCTAAATCCAGCATAAAGTGGTTCAGTGAATGTGTGTGTGAATGTGTGTAAGTGTGTGAGTGTGTGTGTGTCAGAGACGCTGTAGAAGGACAGAGTGCCGGCCGACTCGTCCACAAACACTCCTACTCTCTTACTGCCTGAAACAGGAATATGAGTGGCACCATAATTGTACCAGGCAATGAGTTTGCTATCTTTGCGTTCAAGACTCCAGGATATCAGATTATTCCCAAACCACATCCCACCTTTCCTCTCGATTCCTTTATATGACACTGATATATCAGTATAATCTCCACTCCATTCAGCCTCCCAGTAACAGCGTCCAGTCAGACGCTCTCTACACAGAACCAGAGGATGATGATCACACTCAAATCTGTCTGGATGATCAGGATACGACTGACTCTCTCTCACACGCGTCACCTTTCTGTTCTCCTCAGACAGAACGAGACGAGTGTCTGCTGTGTTTGGATCCAGTGTGAGATCAACAGCGTCTGAACACAAGAACACACATTACAACAGCAACATTTACAACAACACACACTAAAACTGTGTTTGAGGACTTACATCTGTGTAGTCTTGATGTCATCATGAACTCTTTAACTTCTGAACCGTGATCCACACTAGAATACACACACACACACACAAACAGTTGACATTGGCTTGCATCGAGGGACGAAATTAATTCCTACAGTAGATCAATATTTTAACAAATATAAATTAACCTTAAATAATGTATAATTATGACACACGTCAAGCTTTTTTGAACTTTTACACAAGAGAAGCGCGTAAGACATGGACGCTCGAGAACTTAACCAAAGAGTATAGAAGAACAAGAGGCGAAACTCTGATGCTTTTTTGGTAACAGCCACCAGGTGGCGCTTCGGTAGCGTGGCCGCCATTTTGGGGTGAAAATTACAACTGGTGTTACTGGACAGCAGCACAAGTAACAGTTTTTTGAGGTAGTTTTTTCTTGCATTAGTGAGTATTTCCATTTTATGCAACTTAACACCTTTACTACTATTATTAGTTACCAACTCCACTAGGCCTGAAATATATTTTGTACGTTTTAATCCCCTGGATCATGCTAAATGTTTATCTGCCTTCATCGGTGGCCCTGTTTAGTGTTTACTAGCCTGCGCGTTCACGGCCGGCTCTGCTGTGGGGGGCGAGATGTGGAGGGAGGGCTGTAGCGCAGCAGAGCAGAGAGCAAGGGGGTGGGACCTGTAGTTGTGCTTGTTCAAATTTTCAGACTAAGTCAACGTTTTCTCAAAACTCCCTACTGCAGCTTTAATATAAGATAATACTGAAAAAAAAGTTTACTGTAAAACTATTCTATTGCTGTTATATATTTATTGTCCAACATTTACATTTTAGTACAATTACATTTATTTGCTGAATTCATTTATTTCATTGATAACTTATTTTTGTATGTAACATTATGTGTACCACCTGGAAACAGTCTAACGTTTTTATAACTTTATGAACTGAAATCACTTTATTCTTACCTGTCACACTTAATGTGGAGAGTAATATAATGAATTAAATTTGAAACTAAACTCCACCATGCATGTTTGTCTGGGTTTTTCAAATCATCAGCACAAAAGGGTTTTTTTTGTGCAGTGTAGAGAGTGCATAGTTACCAGATTTGGAGATCAAGTAAAACAAAACGTGACAGAAAATATATCCTTTAAGAGAAAAGCTCTAACTGGAGGAATTTAGCCTTTTGACTTCTGGAAAGACAAGCATTAAAAAGTAATTGGAGGATTGTTATAAATGCCCAATATCGAAAATATCAAATGAAACTAAAAAAATGTTTTCAGGATAAATAATCAGTGGGCTGTTCTGCATTATTGAGAGAAGCAGAAACCGTGATCATGATTAATATACATAATTAACAATGTTTTGTTACAGATTTAATAAATGTGAGAAGTGATACTGTTTGAAGGCCAAAGCTTGTATTGCTGAAAAAACAAACAAGTCTGAAAATTACTTTCAAAACAACAATTGTGGCTGTTCATGTTTATGTCTAGGAATGTTGTTGATCTTTAACATGAACAATATCGTTGATCTATAGTAATGAACAATATGACATCTTTTGAAATGCTGTGCTGTTATAATAACATTTCTCTGTACTGTGATGGATATTTATTTATTTATTTATTTGTAAATTGACTGTGAAATAAAGTTTAAAAATACATTTGTAAAATAACCTCTCTTACACATGCGCCGTGCCATAAATGGGTACACAGACATGTTCGAGAAGGTTATCTGTTTGGGTGATCGCTGTAAGATGGAGGTCTCTTATTGGCTGTTCACATTACCTTTTAAAATGTGACCTATATCTGATTCTATTGTGAACTGTTTGCATGTTTCAAACTAACCCGCATGCGCAAAAGAACAACAATGACATCATACGCAGCACACTGTTGCACTAATGTTCGTGTGGTTATGGAGGAAGTAAGCATTTACGCTTTTATTTCTAAATGTCTGTGTAATGGAAGCCGTAAAATTAATGAGCAGGTGGTGATGAGGAGAAGAATGAAGAGAAAGAAAGCAAAATTGGCTACTTATTAATTAGCCCATACTGTATATTAATTAGGTCTAACACCTCACTCTCCCTCCAGTGACTCGCTCCATCATTGTTCTCCATATGTATTCAAGTTTTTAATGTTACTGTCTGTGTCTGTTGTGTCTAGTGCTTCCTCGCCGGCGCATAATTGTGTCAAATGTCAGATGTAGATTGACGTCAGAGTCGCATTAAATCCGCCTTTGTTGTTCACACTGAGGACACATTGAAAAAAAAATCAGGGCCTGTATTCATAAAGAATACAAGTAAAAAGAAAAAAGTAGCTCCTAGTGAGAAAATTCTTAGAAATGTGGGCGTTTACTCTTAAAATTAAAGAAAAAATCCTAGTAAAGAAAAAAGTAATTCAGAAAGAATCTTAACCCTTAAAAGAGGTCTTAAAGGGTTAGTTCTAGGGATGCACCGAATATTCGGCCACCGAAAATTTTCGGCCGAAAATGGCCCAAAAGTGCATTTTCGGTTTTCGGCCGAAAGACTTTTATCACCGAAATAATACGGCCGAAATGTTGTCATGACGCAAACAGAAACCGCGATCTGCACGTGCTTGTCTGAAGCACCATGTCTGCGGTGCGGACATATTTCAGTGTATCTGAAACCGCGAGGAGACGGAAGCCTTTATCCACTGCTCTAAACAATGCGCGCCGCCATGACAACGACTCCGGTTGCGAGCGGGTCATAAATGCCTCAACCGTTTGGAGCGGTGCGCGCGCTGTCTGTGGAGACACGCGCTGCGGAGGCAGGCGAAAGTAAACAAGGCAGCGCGAGTCTCCACAGACAGCGCGCGCACCGCTCCAAACTGCGTTTTTGAAAGGCTCGCCGTTGTACTATTCCTTAAAACAACAGGGGACGACTCAAGTAACTGTCATCTAACCAGGAATCGGTGAGAAGAAGAAAGATAAACACATGACAATGTTTATTTTTTTAGTATTCCACCACCAATACAAAAATAATCATGTTAAACCCAGTAAACCCTGAGATTATTACTTGTGACATTACAAATAGGCTAATATATATGAGGACATGTATGTAACGTTATAGAACTAACGTTAAATTAATGCTCTCTTAAATATGTTCTACATTCCTTAAACATGTTTAGTGTTTCACTAAACAGGCTTTTTATGGTTTTGTATGCTAAATTTTTTAAATGTAAGCAACTAATTTAGACTTGAAACTAGGTGCTGGTGTGATGAGAAGTTCATGCTCGACTTTGTTTTTATGAGAGAACATTTAATTTTAAAACCTTTCTGCAGGCCATATTATTATTTAATGTACACATGAGTGGGGTGAATTTTATTTTATACGGTGCATTGTGCTAAATAAATATTTGTAATTGATTTATTCTTTGAAAATGTTATATTAATTTATGCAATTGTAATGCCTTGATTTTAGTAAAGTTTGTACACAGTCATAATAGCCATAAATGCAATGATACTAATAATTGGCATAATTTCTTTCGGTGTTTCGGTTTTCGGTTTTCGGCCTTGGTTTCCTCTTTTTCGGTTTTCGGTTTCGGCCAAGAATTTTCATTTCGGTGCATCCCTAGTTAGTTCACTTTGAAATTAATTTTTGATATGTTTTAGCTTATCTCAAGGGCATCCAAGATGTAGGTGTCTTTGTTTCCACAGTATTTTCAATTTTTATATTTTTCAGTCAAACCGTTGTTGTCTATCAGTCATACACTGGAGGCTAAGGGGGTCCACCAAAAAGCATGCACAGAAAAGTCAAAATTAAGCATGATTTAATGACTCGTAAATGTAAGTAAACATTGATGGCCTAAGACACGAAACAAGCGGTTTGTGTGAGAAAACGAACAGTATTTATATCGTTTTTACCTCGTGTAATCCAAGTGATCTGAATCAGTTGTTCAATGTCCAACTGAACCGAACTGAATCAGTTCAATGTTACGCCGGAAGTGATCGCTTGCGTGTGACGTCACTCAATATTTACGGAGATTTCGGAAGTTTTACCTTTTACTAAACATATTTAGATATACCGAAATCGTCTTCCATTGCGGTTTCCCGTATATCTAAATATGTTTAGTGAAAGGTAAAACTTCCGAAATCTCTGTATAAACAAAGAGTGACGTAGACGCGCAAGCGATCACTTCAAGCGCATGCGTAGACCGAAGCGCCCGTGCCATCAGATCATTTTGTCATGGCTATGATTACAAGAGGTAAAACGATATAAATACTGTTCGTTTTCTCACACAAACCTCTCGTTTCGTGTCTTAGGCCATCAATGTGTGCTTACATGTACGAGTCATTAAATCATGTTTAATTTTTACTTCTCTGTGCATGCTCTTTGAGGTGAACCGATTGAGGACCCCCTTCACCTCCAGTGTATGACTGACAGACAACAACGGTTTGACCAAAAAATGTCAAAATTGAAAATACTGTGGAAACAAAGACACCTACATCTTGGATGCCCTTGAGGTAAGATAAAACATATCAAAAATTAATTTCAAAGTGAACTATCCCTTTAAGGTCAAAATTGTTAGGAGTACGGGTGAGGACTTTTAAGAGGCTTAAGAGTTTCTTTAGCAGAGGAGAAAATGGCAGAGAGATGGTGAGGGAGAAGAAATGTGCTGCAATAGATGACAGTGAATTAATAGGACGCTGTAGACGAGATCGTGCATGGATCATGTTTGTGACTAGGGCTGTCGCGGTTATGGAATTTCCCTTGCGGTAATGTTGAGTGGCTCAATAGCGCGATATGCGGTATTACCGCCATTTATTTATTTATTTAATTTATATGTATTTGTTGCTATATAAATAAAGTTTACGATGTGGACAAAAACGAGGACATTTTCAGTAACCAATGTAACCGAAACTAAACAATATGCGCAATGAAAGACTTTCACTCAGCGCGCATATTGTTATGACAACGGACTTTGAGCGAGTCATTGAACCGTTCATTCAACGAACACGTTTAAAAAAGCTGATTCATTTAAAGAGATGTAAAGAAACAAGATGTTAATTATTTTTAACTTTGAGGTTCAACTTTTCAAGGCTCAGCTGAGCAGCAATGCGTCACATGGGCAACGCTGAAGCTGATGCTTCACTTATTAGAGACCCATATAGCATTGATTCAATGCGTGGCTCACTGATTTTATTTCGGCTTCCTTGTGCTGTGGGATGCTGACCAGCGCTGCTGTTGACGCGCACTTATGGGAAAATACCCGTGAAGAGAACATTAAAATGATGATACGACAAATATTTCGCTTCCCTTTGACATGACAAGGTTTTCACAACTTCAAAGTGAGATGCAGGTAATTGCACGCGCTCTGCCGATCTCTCTCATTCACTGTCTGTGTGAAGCCTGTAGGCTACACATCACCATGATAAACAGTCTTGTAATCATTATGAACTTGTTTAACATTCAATACACATGCATTAAGTTCAAAACAAGAAGGGTATAGCCTTATAAAAAAAACGTGAATATCGCGGTTGCTGCGGTTACGTGCAATCCTCTGCGGTTGACATGTCAGAAGCGCGGTACTACAATATTGCGGTTACCGCGACAGTTGTGACTGATCTTATTAGAGACACGCTAATATCTCCAACACAGCGCAATGCCATAACGCCAGAAATGAAAGTAATCACTACATTAAGATATTTGGCAAATGGGAAAATGCAATAAAGCAGCAGTGATTTGGGTCTGTCACAACCTTCTGTAAACAGTGATCACGCAAACATTACAGCACTTTCAGAACCTCTTATTATGTCGCAGTTCTTATGTTCCACCTTGCAGGCTCAAAAAACTGCATTTATGAATATAACTGGCTTCCCTGGTGCGCACAAGCAGGGGAATGAACCGTTAATAATTTGCGCTATAAGCTCACACGTCCACTTCTTGCTCCGTGTCGTGACACCCGGCCCAATTTTTTTCTTTAATGATGGTCTAGTTTTCATCCACTAACTGGACTAACAGTAAACACTGTTCTTCTGTCCAGTTAGGCTTTCTCATCTTTCTCATTTTTTATTCCATGTTTGATAAATTAAAACCAACACTCAAACCACCACTTAAATAGACAGCAATCAGTGTAATTGGAAAGAGTGGAACATTTTTTATCATTCACACATTATTATATACATTATACACACATTATATATATATATATATATATATATATATATATATATATATATATATATATACACACACACACAAACACACACACACACACACACATACAGGGGTTGGACAATGAAACTGAAACACTGGCCAATGTTGGAGGTTTCACATCTATATGCCTGGCGGCCAATCTTCAGAGTGAAGCACGGGTGGATCAGTGATGGTTTGAGCTCCAATATCATGACAATCCTGATTGTATTTGATGGACACGACACTGCCGAGGACTACCAAACCCTTCTGGAGGATCATGAGCACCTGATGCTCAAACCGTGTATCAGCATGATCATGCACCAACACACACAGCAAGACTTGTGACAGAAGGGTTTGATGAAGATGAAAGTGACGTTGAACATCTCCCATGGTCTGACAGTCACCAGATCTGAATATTATTGAGGTGTTTTGGAGGAGCGAGTCCACCAGCATCATATAGTGACCTGGACACTGTTCTGGAAGAGGAACGCCTCATAATCCCTCTGGTCACTGTGAAGGACTTCTATCTGTCAATTGGTGCTGTATTTGGATGCAAAATGAGGCCCTCACCATTCTAACAAATTATTGTGTTGTAAAACCAGGTGTTTCAGTTTTTTTGTCCAACCCCTGTATATATATATATATATATATATATAATGTATGTGTGTTTGTGAGTAAACTCTATACTTAAACTTGCTCATTTTTTCCTTCTTGGACAACCAACCAATCACAGTCTTCAAAAGAGTGTGTCATACATAGCAACGGGGTCAACCCCGCCTACTCACTAAGATGAAAGTTTTTATCTTTTCCTTACTCAGAGTTGCTCTCAGATCAGTCCCGAATCGCTCTTAAGCTAAGACTCCTATGTAAAAGTTTTTAAGCTAAATTAAGAGTTTTCTGAGAGGATTCTTAGAATCTTTATGAATACGGACCCAGATTTGTGTCTGATTTAGGACTACATATGAATGTGGTCTAAATCTAATTTAAAAAGATCAGATCTGGGCCAGATTAGAGTGTTCACACTATCTCTGAAGAAGTCTGACCTGGTCACTTGACCCCCCAAAAATCTGATTCAAGCCACTTTTGTCTGCAGTGTGAACGGGGCCTAAAAGAGTATGTTGGAAAATTAACTTCCAGCGCTATGTCTTTGTGAGGTTTCTATGGCTTCTATAGTGTTAGAGTCTATACATTATTTTCTCATCACATTCATACTAACAACTCATGTGGATGCTTTGTCAGGACTAATTGGTGTCACTTAAACACACTTTTTAACACACTGGGACCCATTCAGTGTTCAAAAACTATCAAAAACTCTCAGTCTCACATTCACACCAGTCAGGATGATTCTTACTGATCCACTTACTTGAGTTTGTCCAGTGTGCAGTCTGGATGCTTCATTATATCAGAGAGCAGCTTCACTCCTGATTCTCCTGGGTGATTGTAGCTCAGATCCAGTTCTCTCAGGTGTGAAGGGTTTGAATTCAGAGCTGATGCCAGAGCAGCACAACCTTCCTCTGTCACCAAACACTGAGATAATCTACAACAACAGGAAGGGTTAATGTTAGTATGCTTAATTTTTAGAGAATATACACTACAATAAAAAAACACAGCTCTTCAACCCATCAATTATCTTTACAAGGACCTCTGATTGATTGCAATTAGTGATGTTGAGATTACCCAATTTCAAAACTGACCAAAACCTTTTCAAAACTTTACAATGGTCATATTATTACACAGTAATAATTTGGATGCTATGGTTAATAAAAGAAAATAGTAAAATGAGTCTTTCAGACTTGAGTGTGTGCCGTAGAAGCAAATAAAAAAAAAAGCTATTGGGGCACTTTGGCTATCTAAACATGATTCAGGAGTAGTTGAAGACAGGTATGCAATTAGCAAAACATGTAGATGAAAAGTGCCAGCAAAAGCAGTGAACACATCTAATATGTACAGCACCTGTGGGATCACCACCATACACATCTAGATGATGGTAATAATTTTACAAACATAATAAATAGCCTGTTACTTATATCCAATAATCACAATTATTTAAACACACTTTATTTGAATAAGAACAGTCTCAACTTCAAAATAAAACAATAAATACCATTTTGACCATTTTGACTTACACACATGCATATGTATCGGTCAATATACATTAAGTGTACATTGACAGATTACAATCACACTTAAAAAGTAATAAACATTTGAATTAGGCAGAAATGTGCCACAATGGCATTAACATGTTCACAAAAGACGATTCCGAATATACATAAGCCGCAGTATGTTTGCGTGATTGGAGCATGATCACTGTCGGCTTGTCCTGTATATTTCTTGGATGTATTATGTCCAGCATATGGCGCTGCTGACCTCCTCTTCTACAGTCATACTTGCACACAGCAAAATCTCCTAGACAACTCCTGCAGGCCTTCTACAGCCACAATCCATTCCTCAACAACCTTGGTCACACTGCTATTGATTTTGTCACTTATCCCCTGACCTCCCAGGGTAACACCAATATACTACAGTCATTAATTGTTTTTGCAAGGCCCGGCTGGATCGGCCCTAAGAAGGTTTTCCAGTCAGCAGGTGAAGGTCTCTATGTGGTACGGTCTTTCCTTTTCCGCAACATTCAAGATTAAATGGAATGCATTTTCTCATTTGTATCTCATTATTTCATCTGACTCCATAAATTTTACCTAATCAGATTAGAAAGCTATGCCGCTCAGAGGTCTTTGCATCTTCCGCGGGTCTCACACTCGCAATCTCGTCAGTTTCGCTACCCAAACAGAGGTAATTGATTAATATCTTAGACGGTCGGACTCACCCTTACACAATCAAAGATACTTTTATATAGCCCCCTAGAATTTGCATACACTTGAATTCAAAGTAAGCCTTCAGGCAGAGGTAAGACCACTATTATATGCAAGTTAACCAACTTTACTTATCTTATAATAGCTTTGGATCGGCCATCCAGTGGTTTGCCGCGTACACTTATCAAGTAACATTAAATTTAAACCGACGTAATACAGACGCATCCAAATTTAGGTTGGTCAAGCAGAGCATTGCTGCTCTAAACGGAAATGACTTGTCTCTGCAAAACAAACAAATTAGTGGCAAATATTAGTCGTCACTAATCTGACACAAACTTGCAGGAACATACAAATCCAGTTAATCTACTTGGGAGAACAAATTTAGAGTCAGTCAGAATAAAATTTTATGTTTACAACTTATTGACCAGATAATAGAACAATAATTCAAAATCCATTTCAATCAAATATAATAACAGAAATTCTGAAATCAGAAATTCAAGAAATCTTTACCTGGTAATGAAAACTACACACAGCAATCGTGTGGGAAGTCTACCTACAGACTCCTGAAACTTTTTGCCCATTTTCCTATAAACCCAGATAATTAAATTTGCTTACCAAATGGTGGTGTCTGTCATTATAATTCGATTTTGGTCCCCTAGTGAGGGGCTTACAACTGTGAGATCAAAATGGAGGATCTGGGGGAGGGAACACCTTAGAGGGACACATTACTTCTCATATTTTGTAACTTCTTTTAGCTTTTCATTATGGTTGGAAGAATGAGACCATTTTACCAGGCGCACTGAGACACTTTAAATGATACCAAACATGTATAGTTAATTTTTTTGTACACATTTAACATTTCATGGGTTTTCAGTGAGTTTCAGGAGAGGAGAAGGGGGGAGAAGGGGGAGATTATCAAAGTGAGGTGTGAGCGGCACTGTGTGCTGTGTCTCGGATGTTGCGGTTACATAATTATGCAAGTGAGGGTTCAAATATTAATTCTCAGGAGAGCCTTTGTTCTCTCGAGGGTTAGCCCAGACTTTCTGGCACCCGCCTTACAGGCATTTCGATTAACATCTCTACCTAAGCTCCCAAAAGCTTTCAAAACAGTAGAAAATTTCATCCACTACATGGTTTACTATCATGTACTACCTGAAGATATTGTCTCAGACCGGGGTTCCCAGTTCACATCTCAGGTCTAGACAGCCTTTCACCAATTCAATTTAAATATAAGCCTCAACTCAGGATATCACTCACAATCAAATATTCTAAGCAAAAGCCTAAACCCAGAACTCACAAGGTTTCTTAGAATGCACTAACAGCAGAATCGGTCGGTCTGGATCAGCTTCTTACGCTGGGCTGAATATGCTCAAAATTCCCTTCAGAAACCCTCCACTGGCGTTACCCCTTTCCAATTTGTCCTGGGATTACAGCCACCTCTATTTCCCTGGTCAAGGGAACCTTCTGAGGTACTGGCCATTAAAGACTGGCTCAGACGGAGCAAGACAGTGTGGAACCAAACACACGTCCAGCTTCAACGTGCAGCAAATAGATAGAAGAAATCATCAGTGTCGTTCCAACCCCAATTATGTTTTTTATATATATATATATATATATATATATATCTTGATTTCTCACTTTGATTGAGAAAAGCTTGATTGTCTGCTTTTTGGAATGAATGGGAATGAATGGCAGCACTAATCGAGTCTCATGAATGCAGCCACATTTTTATTAACCCTCAGGTGCTCTTCGGTCATTTCTGACAGAAATTTTTTTTGTTTTGAAATTTTAAAAATCACAGCTTCATCGCAATGTTACGAAACTTCGTGACTTTTATGGCATTATGTATGTGAACACACAAAAAAATTGAGGTCATGATCTGACCATGCTAAGTGGTCTTAAAAAAAGTCACACTTGTGGTCTTTGGTCAAAAATGACCCCCATAGGAAATGAATGGGAAATTGTAAAAAAATGAAAAAAAAATAATAAAATAATAATTGTGAATTTTTGTTTGTCAATTTTTTTTTATGGAAATAGTTTTTGAGATTGTTTCAACTATATGTTCAAATCCACCGCCAACAACAACAAAAAATGTGTTCATAAACAGCTGGGGAATTCACATGCCTCTCCATAGAGAGCTGTACATGCCATCTAGTGGTTACACCATGATTCTACACCTTTTCTCTATACTGTAACCAGATGGTGCTAATTATCTTCAAAAAATATTTTTTTTCTGAAGGCCTAGACTCTGTATTAAACTAAAATACTGCAATAATTAAAAAAAAAAATAATAATATATATAGAAAAATATATATATTTTTCCATGGCAAAAATAAACCATAAATATTGCATAAATATTAATAAATTCAATTAAATTGTCTCAAAATACTAAATAACAAAGAATAAATATTATAGAAAAAAAATAAATTGCATTGGTTTTACTGGGATGGAGAAAGTTTCATTTTTAGGTGTCCGGTCACTTTTGACCGTGAAGATAACAAGTGTGACTCCGAAATGAAGAGCACCTGAGGGTTAAGTAAAAAAATACATTTTGGAACACTTGAAATATATGGCACGTGTTACATCGGACCATTCAGTGACACTTTTGCCTCTTTTTTAGCCTGACGTGCGGTTCGCTATTCACTCCCATTATGTGAATGGATGTAAGCAGGTTTTTTTTTTTATATATATCGTTCTATAGTCCGAAAAAAGAAGGGCATACTGCATTGGAATAATAACTGGGCGGGTAGATTATTACTTAAATTTTGGGCGAACTATCCCAAAGTCAGTTGCATAGAATATTAGAATATTATATTATATTATATTATACATAACACCTTACTATTATTTTGCACAGTTGAAATCCCCAGTTGAAATCCCCTTAAATACCTCAATTTGTTGAGTTGACAGTTTAGACTCTTCAGTCCAGCAGAGAGCAGCTTCACTCCTGAATCTTGCAGGTCATTGTTACTCAGGTCCAGCTCTCTCAGGGAGGAGTTTGATGATTGTAGAACTGAAGCGACAACTTCACACTGCTGATCACTGAGATTACAGTCTGCTAATCTGAAAAAAGAGAGGACTCTGATTAAAAGGCATGCTGGTGTTCCCACCAGATCGCAAAACTTCCTTGGTTAACCAACTTCAACTCCAGATTCACCAATTAAAACAGACATGACTACATATTTCATGAACAATATTATTATTATTATTATTATTTGTATTTGTCACAGGGTCTGGTTTGTGTTTCCCTTAGTTTCCACTAGAGGTCTCTTCCCCCATACTGTCACCATTTACTCTGGAACTGCATTTTCTACGATCCTTTGTCTTTTCTCATTACTCATTATTGAACACAGCTGTTTCTAATTGCATTGTTTATTTCTGTGTATAAATACCCTGTCTGTTTCTGTCCTTGCCACAGAGTCATTGTATTGTTTGTCACGCTGTAACTCTGAGGTTTGTTTCTGTTCTGTTCTGGTTTTGTTTTTACTTGTTTTGTAATATTATCATTCGGACTGATCAAAATGGATTGACACTGGCATGGATGACAACGATTCTGATTGTTTGGATTATGACGCTTGCATGGATGATGATGACTTGGATTGCCCAGACTATACTATTGCTGCATTTGGATCCACCCAATTCTCCACTATCTGTCGTGACAGTATTACTATGTTTCTTGTTGTATTTGTATATGTGCACTGGAAGCCCTAGCACCAAAACAAATTCC